GTCAAACACAATAAAAATAATATTTAAAAAACCCACCTATACATTTCTTCATAAATTGGCAGGCTTGGCGAGTACCGTCAAACGGGGTTAAGTGAATCACAATGGATAAAGTGAACCACTCGGTAATTTCCGTTATAAGTGACGAATATTACATTTTTAGTTCGTACATTTTCTCTTTATTTTATGATTAAAAGCTGTTTGTTTTTACTATTTTTAAATAAACGTTTTTGTTCTTTGTATTACGTTTATTTATTTATTTTTCCAACTAAGTGTTTAAAATATTTTTTAAGTGGTTCACTTTACCCCGACATTTGCCAAAGTGATTTTCTTTGCGATTTTAAACCATGATTCACTCTACCCCAAAATAAGGGGTAAAGTGAATCACATTTTACCAAAAAAAAATTGGGCACTTTCAAGTAAAATAAAAATATAAAAATTGGTTAATAGTGAGAAGTAAGCCCCAAACAACATACGTTATTTTTTGAAGATTTTTAATATTTGTAGTTTTGGAATATTCTGAGAAAAACAGCTTTTTGTGATTCACTTAACCCCATTTGACGGTACTACTTCGAATAAAAATAGCGTCCAAGTTGCAAGACTATGTCGCTACCCCCTTAAATATACAAGAATTTCCCACTGGCACCTATTGTTTGACAGGTCGTTGGAATGCCTAATTAGGCATTCCAAACAAATGAATTGCCAGTGGGAAGGTTTGGTATATCTAAGGGTGGCGACATACTGTGTATTCTATCTACTTTACGTAAAATCATGAATAATGGATTACATTTAAATATTTTATGTCAAACACAATAAAAATAATATTTAAAAAACCTACCTATACATTTCTTCATAAATTGGCAGGCTTGGCGACTACTACTTCGAATAAAAATAGCGTCCAAGTTGCAAGACTATGTCGCTACCCCCCTTAGATATACAAGAATTTCCCACTGGCACATATTGTTTGACAGGTCGTTGGAATGCCTAATTTATGTATATACTTACGTATAGCAAAAAGATACTATATTAAATTACCTCAATGTATTTCTTTGGACTATATTTGTTGAGAAATACAGTTTTGTAAGTACTTTGTTGGTAACTTTTTTATTGCCTGTTCTAATTATATCAGATTTATAAAGTGTCTTGAGCTATATTTGTAGGGTTAATATTTTCGATGGTACTTCTTTCAATTGCCCTAAACCAGACAGAATACCGTTTGTTTTCAAGACTAGAAAATATAAGGAAAATTATTCTCAATAAGAAATCATTGAGAGAAGGCAAACTAAACATAAATTATTGACAATATCACAATACAGAGAAGTAAACTGCCGCATCTTAAATCCAACAGAAGGACATGAGACATGAGTACGACTCTGTAAAAGTCAATAAATTTTACCTGTAAAATGTATTTCCTGTCATGTTACCTCTAATATCATAATTCACGACTAAACACGTTTTAATCATATTAAAATGATAAAAATATTACCAGAAAACACTCAGTAATATAATTTGTTATTAAAAACTGATTAATAAACCAGAAAAACGATAATCATGACAGCTGACGCAACTGACATGAAAATGACTTTGTTTTACTGCGCAATTCCTCAATTCCAATTTTGACCAACGTGGCGGCGCCCTATAATAAACATATTTGAAATATATTGCAGATAATCATCGCCTATCTCCTAACACTCTAGATCTGTGTGTACCTATTTGCGAAAAAATTGGCGACACTAAGCCGGGGTACTTAATAATTGTCAACACCTGGTTGCTTTAGGTACGCTAAATTAGTGATATGTCAAACTCAATGAGAGAAGGGTTCGTTTTTGTTAAAAGTTTGGTTAAAAGTTATCCAAAATTACCTCACAAAAATATGGAATATATGTTAAATTAGTGATGACATAATTAGGGTTGCCACCTGTCCTTTTTTGAAAAGGACAGTCTTTTTTTCAAGTAAAATGTCCTTGCGACTTTTTAAAGCTTAAAATGTAATTTTTATGGCATATGTCTTGTTTTACTCTTTGATATTTTTGAAAGGAACCTGGGTTGCACAAAAATATACAAGATGAGCTTTTTTTTAAGAAGCTCGGTAGAAGGATTAGGACCTTTTGCATACCAGATCCCCTATCAGCATAATTGTCCTTTATTCACTTTTCAAAAAGGTGGTAACCCTAGACATAATTATGATTCCACTGTTAATTACAGTGGCAGTTTTTTGAGTGCGTTTTGTTTACTTAATTTTATTTTTTTGAACTTTAATAAATATTACATTCCTAGAGTAAGTAGATAAAACGTATCAAGTATACTGTATCGACCAAAGAATACCTTCTAATATCCCTTGGCACAAGTACGTGTAAAAACTACAGAGAAACAGCAGGAAAGAAACAAAGCCAGTGATACCTGCCTATACGGCCTAGCGAACGTTACAACGCGATAGGGTCTGTAGTTTGCACACGCACTTGTGCCAAGGAATATTAGAAGATTTTTTCGTTTGCAATTTTGAACAGTGCCAGACCTAGTTAAAAATATGTTATGGTCTTAACATTAATGACTATTTTGAAGGCCCACGGAAATCGTTGCAATACTAGGTAGCGCAAATGCGTTCATGATTTAAGTAAGACTGCATTGACGGCGGAAGGGGAGGCAAGTCCCCTCCCACCATACTAAAGTAGAGCCGATTTGCGTATTAGATATTAGCTTCACTCCACTCTTGCAAGGTTCAAGCCCCCTTCCAAGAAAAGTTATTCCGCCACCAACGAATAAGAGTACCAAAAAAAGTAAGTCTTCATTCTTGCAATTTTAAATGCATAAATATGAATTAATGTGTTTTAAGGGAGGCACTTAAATATAAACAAAGTAAATTAATAAAACAAAACTTGTTAACCATTTTTTATTCCCCTAAAGATAGATATTTACATTTTTTCTATTTCGTTATTGAGATTCATATTTTTAACAAGTTAATGATGTTTTCCTTATTTGGTTTTATATTTCTGTATGTACCATAACAATCCATTTTTTTTTTCAAGGCAATAACAAAAAAATATACAGAACAATTATATATTTCCTGACGGTAGTAATATTTAAAAAAAAAAACCTTTTTGGTTTTATCGGTCAAATAATTTTATTAATAATAATTAAAAACTACATGATATATTCTTCACTTCTCCCTTGTGGTACAAAAAGACGTGTTTAAAAACTGCAACGACTTCAAAAACTTTAAAATTTGTGACTGTGCACTAGAAGATGGCTTATGCCGAAACATATTATTTTGTATCTAATTATTATTATTGATAACATTTTTTTGTCCAATAAAAGCAAGATAGTTTTTTATTTAACAAAAAATATATCCATACTTTTTCATCTTTAAAATCTAAATAAAAAGTACGTAAACTAACTAACTATAATACAAAACAGAACTACCTACCTATATTATAATAATTATGCCTTATTGATTTTCTAAAAAAATATATTTATCACACAAATATTTTAATAAATTTATAATTTTTTTAAGTGCCTATAATTTTTTGGCAAGGAAGAAAATACACATCATAAATTAATACAATAATTGTCAAAGCATTTCAGCAATTTTAAATTGGTAAATATGATTATTTTATATTTTAAATCCTCAACTCGTTTATTATTATTGTTAATACACATTTTCATTAATAAATACATACATACTTGACCAATAGAATTAATAAATTATAATGATCTAGTAGGCAGGGTAGAGGAAATTAGGGTGAATATACGCAGTGGGAAACTGTGCGCACCTAAATACCGCCATAATATTTATTGTTTGAAATTCGAAACGTGGTGCCATCTATAGTTAAACCGCCAAACTCCTAACTAACATGTGTTTTGCGATCATAACTTAGTTAGAAATCCAACAGTTGGTTGTTTGGGTTTGTGAGGTTAAATTATCTTTTTTTGCTGGAGAATAAAACAAGCCGTAAGTACGCTATTTTTTACTTAAGCTGGATAAATTTGATATCAAACAAAAATTGTCTGATCGGGTATTTATGCGCACAGTTGTTGGGGTAACTGTGCGTGCGCATAGTTGCCCGCCTTAAAGTTTAAAATCAGTGTGTAGGTTTTTTAATGTGAAAAAATTATATTTTAGATGCCGAGAAAATATCAAAGAAAACCTGAGATGGGAAAATGAACTGCAGAGCAGTTGCGAAATGCCATTATAGAAATTTCCAATGGATGTTCTATACGATCTGCTGGCATCAACAATCAGAAAAAAATAAAATTATCAGAAGAAGAAAGGTATCAGCCTATGTGCCTGGGTGGAGTGGTTACTTTTACTATGCAGCAAGGAATTGGCAGATCACGTCATTAAACTGGCGAAAATGTTTTACGGATTAAATCCAATTTAGCTTAGAAAACTAGTATACCAATATGCGGAAGCTAATAATGTTCGCCATAAATTTAAAAAGGAAAGAAAACTAGCTAGGAAAGACTGGTACTACAATTTCATGGAAAGACATCCAAATATAACGTTGCGGAAACCTGAGGCCACTAGTATTAATCGAATCAAAGCTTTTAACCAGGAACCCGTAAAATTATTTTTCTCAAATCTAGAGATAGTATATAACAAATATAAATTTACTCCGGACAATATTTACAACGTGGATGAAACCGGAATTACAGTCGTTTAGAAACCGGTTAAGTGTTTGACTCCAAAGGGAATAACACATAACACCATAACACCAATGTTCATTTTTCCTCGAAAGCGTATGACAGACCTTTTGGCGAAAAATGGCCCAAGTGGAGCTCTATTTTCTTGTTCAGTGTTAGGTTGGTGCAACGAGAATTTATTCATGGATTGGCTTCAACATTTTTCCCAATCGGTTAAACCAACTGTAATGAATCCTGTCCTTGTGATTTTGGACAATCACTCAAGCCATATTTCCTTGTCCATATACGAACTCTGTAAAAGTACCGGTATCGATCTCCTTACTTTACCTCCGCATACCTCACATCGTATGTAACCTCTAGATCTCAAGTTTTTCGGCTGTTTGAAATCAGCATACAATCAAGAATGCGACTTGTATGACTCGGCTAAAATTTTCAATAAAGCTTTTGTAAAAGTAGCGACGATGGAAAAAGCGATATCTGGGTTTAGGTCTGCAGGTATATACCCCTTCCAGCCAGACAAATTTACTTTGGAAGACTTTGGACCAGCATCCCAATTTCGACCTATTAATGACGAAAATATATTACCTGACAATAAAAATAAAAATATTTCTTCCAAGCCAAATGATGCGTCTGTGATTTTGAATTCAGAAAGTCAACCATCGACAAGCAAAACATAGTAGCCAACATTGCATCGAACATCAAGTAAAATGCAGAATCTAGTTACTGAATCATTGGCAAGCAGCAGCTCTGAGTGGGCATCTAAATCAGGGCCAGGTAGAATTTCACCCTCAAAAACTATTTCCGAACGATTAGAAGTCAAACATGTAGTAACAGCGGAGACTTTATCTCCAATTTCCCGTACTAGCAGCACTAATAAGTACCTATAATAGAAAAAAATAAACAAAAATAGACGAGCTAGAAGAGACAGGAAGAAAAATACAAAACTTGATCGCCGGAGTAATATTAAAAAGATCAATAGCAAAACAAAATCCAAGAAAAGAAAGAACGTAAAAAGTCAACTGTTCAAAGAGAGTGATAGCGAGGTTGAATCTATTGACAGTGACAGTATGCTTTGCGATGATGAAGAATGCGATGATTATCCAGATGTTGATGAAAATGAGTGTTTAATATGTGGAGAGTTGCCCCTGAAATCTGAAACCTGGTATAGGTGCACTATATGTTCGAATTGAGCTCGCGCTCTTTGCAGTGGATATGACTCACCAGAAAATGACAATTGTGATTAGAATACCTTTTATTTTTTCAAAGAATTCAATGTTTTTAGTTCCTCTTTTCAATTATTTTTTAAGCATATTTATATGTAACTGTTTCAGAATTAAAGCATTATTTTTGCACATTAATATCTGTGTGTTTTTTTATTAATATACAAGAAAAAAATATTTAAGGTGTAAAGCGCACATTCACCCGGTGACGCGCCAATTCACCCGCTATATGTGACTTATCACCCATACATGTAAGTTAACTGTGCTCAGTGTAGAAATTTTTAAAAAATATTGTAGGGTATTAATTTTGCTTAAATGATTTGTTTAATATAGGCCGTAATGTAGGGTATACTTTGAACTATTTACTAAGCCTCTCGGCGATTCCCCTTTACAGAAGTTGTTCTCGTTTCAAAACAAATTTTAAATTTGCGCACAGTTACCCGAATTTCCCCTATTATTTGTCCTAATCTAGGCTGTAGGCGCAACTCTTCTGTGATTGGTTGATTTTGTATTCCACTTACAAATATTACCGTAAAAATATCGCCATGACCTCGAACATTTAAATGGGAGTATTTTAACATGAATACTGTTTTTGATGTATTAGAAAAGCTCCCACAATTATTAAAAAAGAAATATCGCTGCGTACCAACAAGACAGTCACTCAACTCAATTTTTTTCAGTTTTATGATTTTTGTACCATTATGCTTAAAAAACAGTTGAAATTTACCTATAAGATCGACAAAAAATTGTGCGTAGTTTGGCCAGAGAGCGTTCTGACCAATACTTATCCAAATAACCTCGCGAGTTTGTTTGCAAGATTATCACAAAATAAAAAGTAACAATTTTTTTTTATATTATATTACAATTTTTTTAGAAATACTGGCAACACAAAAACTTTCAGTTTTATTTTATATTTTATTTAAGCATTATGTTTTAAAAAGTATTTGATCAAAAAGGTAACGTTTCATTTGGAGTTTGGACTATTTTTCTTGGAAAAAAAGGGGGGACTTTTATTCTTAAGCGACATTAAGACTTAATCTAATTGATTTTTTGTATGGAAAACTCACTTTTTATTTTTTCTGTCAAAATATTTTATATAAGAGTTATTTTTAACATAAAAATAAGCTAAGGGTCATTATTAGATACTAATAATATAACGTGATTCCATCATTTCTGTAACCACATTTTATATTACCAGAGGTAATCGTTTAACAAAGTTTTTAAGAGCTTCTCTCGAAAAATTAATGTTTATAAGTTGCACCGGTCTTGTTGGAAAGCAGCCATATCCCCTAATTGACCAAATACATACAACTATAAAAATTCAACAGACGCTCCACAAGAAAACTAAATTAAATACCTATATAAAAATTAAATAATTTTATTTTGAGCTATTCATTTTAATCCGATATCTTTGCGGATATTTTGTGTACACGGCTTTCGCCAAAACCAGCAAACACGCCGATCTTTATCAAACATGAGTCAAGCAAGAGAAACAAAGAACTAGTGTCCATGAATGAATTCTTTTACCTAGTCCGGATATTGCCGGCGCTGATCCATCTGAAATGTAGATGAATCCATATACGCCATGTAGGTACCTACATACGAATTTTTTATAAATGTATCACAGTCTACGTCGAAAACAATAAATTTTAATAATAAAAATACTTCTAACACCAAACAAGTAAGATCATAGAAGCTCAATCAATTAATACTGATACATAAAACGTAACTGAATTAGAATCACCAGATGATAATGTACTACTTATATAATCGGCCGTTGCCAATGAAATTCATTTAAAATTGAAGTGGAGCTCAATCTCTCCCGACTTTAGTTTCTCGTTATGACACCTCTTTTGTTATTTCTACTTTTTGCACTTATTCTTATTCCAAACGCCAAAAAGTGTGGCTTGTAAGTTGATATAAATTCCAACTTCATGCTTTTATAGATATGTTGGCAATCCAATGTACTGTCAAAAGAAATCAATTATTATATTTGCTTTCAAGCTAAACTTGTAAATAATTATGATGCGTATTTTCAATTTTTGTTAAAATTGGCCACTCATTAAAGACTAGGTAGACGAAATGTGGCACTAATCACCATGGCGACAAAAATGTCAGATACAAATCATTGCGGTACGTTTCCAAGGCACTATTTAAAGATTCGATAGCACAAACTTTCTTTGTCTAATTAATTGTTTATGAAGAACCGTGAAAGAGATCTCTAAAATCTATTTTACGACGACTATCAACCTTAATCTTTGTACATATTTTTTTTTTCTAAAAAGCACCTCTTTAACCAGCCGACAGGTGGTTTTTTTATTTGTTCAACCCCCTTCAAAGATCTACCAATTACCTTTGTTTAAATACATTTGATTGACCTGCCGACTGGACTTTTGTAATACGTTTCTATTCTAAATCCGCCATCACACATATACCTCTCTTTTCTTAGAATCCGCAGCGCTCTGCGACACCGTAGATATCTTTCTTGCTCTGTTGTCCTTGCCGAGAGATACCAACGAGTTCGGAGCTGAAGCTGACGGTGACAAGCTAGAGCCAGCCGACAAAGAGCTGTCTGGTTTAGAAAGACTGGATAGAGCACTACCGGTTTTTCTGTGAGTCATTGGAGTCGATAAATTCGGCAGCGCGTCGAAATTACTCAAAACCAGCGTATCACCGGAATTTTCGTGAGACTGAGCCTCGAGAGACTGCTTAGAACTAATCGACGCTGTCGTGTTAGAGGCGATAGATCCTTTTGAGGTGTTGGAAGCGTTCGATGCCGGAGAGTTGTTGTTGCTTCTGTTTACTGACGGATTGTCGTCTTCTGAGTGGACTTCTGTTAGAGTCAAATGTTGGGATGGGGAGGCTGATTGGAGGTGTTCAAAAGCCTGAAAAATCAAACAAATAAAGATATGTTGTAAAATGATTCATAAGTAAGGTAGTTCTCTCTGAAGATGGCTGTATTTTTATTGTTTTTATTGTCGATATAACAGTCATCTTCAGAGAGCTCCATGGGCGCCGATTTATTAAGAGGTGGCGCGATCTAAGCCCCATCAATATTTACAAGATTTCATTGAAAGTACGACAGATATAGCTGAAGACGTCAAGGTCATATATGAGCAGAAAATAGTAGAACGGAGCTCAATTCGTTCCAGTTTTTCTAGGTGAACACTTGGTTCTTAATAAATTATACTGTGCATTTCGAGATGTTTCCAAATACAAGTGCCGTAAAAAATTTAATATATTTTTACCTGTATGAACGCCGGATTTCTCAAAGAATTTTGTTCGAAAGCTCTAGCTAATAGCGGGCTATTTGAATTCGAAGCGAAACCGAGGGAAGTTAGCTGCGAAACTGTCATAGGTACGCTGACCGGTGTGGTTAGTACGGGGCCCAATCCTGGAGAGAGTACGGCTTGTGCTAGTGCGGCGGTGCCAGGTTGATTAGGGTGCAAAGTACTGTTTACGGATCCGCTACCGTCAAGCTCTTGAATCGGTGACAGAACCACCTAAGAGGAAAGTAGTGATATACGTCGGTTTAGTTTCTTTTTAATTCCAAGATGTAATGAAAATTTGCTCACATTTCACTGTATGTAGTATTAATAATTGTATATCAATTAAATATTTTTTTTGAGGTTATGTGCTGTGCAGCGTTGATACGTTGTATATAATTTACTAGCTAACCCGATTCCGCTTCGCTGGAATTTTTATTAATTTAATTTTTATTTATTTTTCATTAATTTTTATTAATTTTAAATAATTTTTATTTATTTTTATTAATATTTAATAATTTTTATTTATTTTTCATTAATTTTTATTTATTTTTCATTAATTTTTATTTATTTTTCATTAATTTTTATTTATATTTATTATTTTTTATTTTTATTTATTACTTTTTATTTATTTTTATTTATTTTTATTTATTTTTATTTATTTTTATTTATTTTTATTTATTTTTATTTATTTTTATTTATTTTTATTTATTTTTATTTATTTTTATTTATTTTTATTTATTTTTATTTATTTTTATTTATTTTTATTTATTTTTATTTATTTTTATTTATTTTTATTTATTTTTATTTATTTTTATTTATTTTTATTTATTTTTATTTATTTTTATTTATTTTTATTTATTTTTATTTATTTTTATTTATTTTTATTTATTTTTATTTATTTTTATTTATTTTTATTTATTTTTATTTATTTTTATTTATTTTTATTTATTTTTATTTATTTTTATTTATTTTTATTTATTTTTATTTATTTTTATTTATTTTTATTTATTTTTATTTATTTTTATTTATTTTTATTTATTTTTATTTATTTTTATTTATTTTTATTTATTTTTATTTATTTTTATTTATTTTTATTTATTTTTATTTATTTTTATTTATTTTTATTTATTTTTATTTATTTTTATTTATTTTTATTTATTTTTATTTATTTTTATTTATTTTTATTTATTTTTATTTATTTTTATTTATTTTTATTTATTTTTATTTATTTTTATTTATTTTTATTTATTTTTATTTATTTTTATTTATTTTTATTTATTTTTATTTATTTTTATTTATTTTTATTTATTTTTATTTATTTTTATTTATTTTTATTTATTTTTATTTATTTTTATTTATTTTTATTTATTTTTATTTATTTTTATTTATTTTTATTTATTTTTATTTATTTTTATTTATTTTTATTTATTTTTATTTATTTTTATTTATTTTTATTTATTTTTATTTATTTTTATTTATTTTTATTTATTTTTATTTATTTTTATTTATTTTTATTTATTTTTATTTATTTTTATTTATTTTTATTTATTTTTATTTATTTTTATTTATTTTTATTTATTTTTATTTATTTTTATTTATTTTTATTTATTTTTATTTATTTTTATTTATTTTTATTTATTTTTATTTATTTTTATTTATTTTTATTTATTTTTATTTATTTTTATTTATTTTTATTTATTTTTATTTATTTTTATTTATTTTTATTTATTTTTATTTATTTTTATTTATTTTTATTTATTTTTATTTATTTTTATTTATTTTTATTTATTTTTATTTATTTTTATTTATTTTTATTTATTTATTTTTATTTATTTTTATTTATTTTTATTTATTTTTATTTATTTTTATTTATTTTTATTTATTTTTATTTATTTTTATTTATTTTTATTTATTTTTATTTATTTTTATTTATTTTTATTTATTTTTATTTATTTTTATTTATTTTTATTTATTTTTATTTATTTTTATTTATTTTTATTTATTTTTATTTATTTTTATTTATTTATATTTATTTATTTTTATTTATTTTTATTTATTTTTATTTATTTTTATTTATTTTTATTTATTTTTATTTATTTTTATTTATTTTTATTTATCTTAATTAATTTTTGCTATAGACTAAAGTTTGTTGATCATTGATTTTTATTTTATTTAACATATTAATGCTAAAAAGATTTTAGATTAATTAATTTTATGTGGATTTATTTGTTTTGCCTTTTCTTTTTTTGGGTGGCCTTGTTTTATAGTCCAAACAGATACAGATCTGTTGATTGATTCAAATTTGAAATATATTATTAAAAAAATCACCAATAAAAAAGTTTAAAATATCTAATAAAAAGCGACGTGGTAACGATCCATTTTTATTGGCAAGCTCTTTGACAGTGTAAATATTGCTATATAGAGTAAGCAATGTTTGACTTTCACAGAATCACAGCCACCCTAGATTTAAAAAGAAACTGGACGGCACAAGTGCTCTAATATAATAAACTATATGTTACAAGTTTTGAGTAAAAAAAAGTAAGTATGTAGTTTGTTCAACATAACAATATGCTTTCATTAAAAATATACCTGTACAACTGGAACATCAACGGTAGGATATGACATGAAACTCGTGGGAATTTGCTGAGACGTCAAAGTCAATCCAGCTGACATTTGATTTTGCAGGCTGTGTGGAGCGTGGTGGTGTAGCTTTTGTTCTCTGTCAACGATTTCTTTTGTGACATCAGGAGTTGGAATCCTTGGCCTGTTTTTTACTTGAATATTGGTTGCTCCTTGAAGGAAAATGAATTATTGTCAATGCAATTATAACAAAAAAAAAATTATAAAAATTAGAATTAATTGATAGGTATAATATAAAATAACTAAGTAATAATTGGACAGTAGAAGAACCGATAATTGAAACAATCTGTTCGGGTTTAGATACTTCTGGGTAAATATAACCTGAGCAAGACAGGCTACGCATAGTAACAGAACATTTTTTTACAGTGAAAAATATAAAAAAAGTATTAGTTGATATGATTCGCACACCTAACTAAGTGATGTAGGGCTAAATGTTGGCAAAGTATATCCCATACTTTCAAGCCTCTTTAGCGCGAAGTAACTATAAGGAGTCTCAGGAATGATGGAACAATACTTGTAGCCCTATTAACAGGGTCTTGTATGCATAACATCGATCTGGCAGAAGAGACATTTTGCCGATTCCGTCAAAATGATATTTTGTTTCACATTTATTGGCCACGACTTATAATGTTGATATTGGGAAAATAGTACACTCATTTCTTATTTATATGCAAAATGTCTATTAAAATTATTACTGTTTGAAATATATAGGTATAGATATGATTCAACTTATTATAATTTAATGTTGAAAAACGCATTAAAAACAGAGATAAAATGTTATTAGTTCTTATGAATAGAAAAAATTATGCTGTTAATTATTATTTTTTATTCCTAATACGTGACTCAGAGTAAGTATTGAGGTATTGTTGAAGTTATTATTTAAAACGATTTTATCAATTTGTTTTATCCAGGACTTATTGAAAACAGTAATTATTGGGTATACTTAACGTCTACTTTAACTGATAACAATTTAATTGCTTAATAAGAACTGCACTAATTTTAAAATATAAAAATGTGTTTCAAGGAAAAGAAGGAATATTACGCTGATTACTTAAAAAAATCAGCAGAAGCCAACAAATAAATGGAAAAATCTGTAGAACAAGATTCTGAACAAAAAATTAGAAAAATTGGGTTTTCAATTATCAAATTTTAAAATAGGCCATGATCGATAAAGAAACGAGTCACTTATCTGATTTTTTCCATTGCCTACTTTTGAAATGTTTTAACACTATGTGCTTTATCGATTTATTTATTTATTATCGAAGAATATTACGCTCCGACATGCGTGTATTTTACCAAAGCCTACTTTGGAAACATTTTTTTGTGGATCACTCCATACAATTGTTGACATTACAAAGCTTGTAAATAAAACTCCGGTACTTACTTGCTTTATAATTCCTAGTTCTGCCGGACTTCCGCCCCACTAATCTGTCGTATATTGACATTTTTGGTTGTTGTAGCCCTGGTAACTGCCCGTTTTCGGGGTTATCAATGGAATACCCTCTATGGCGTCCAAAGAGACCTCCAGAAGAGTAGGCAGTAGAAGATGATCGTATGGATCCCATGCCAGTTCTAGAAATTTGTCTGGTGAACCAGTTCGCACTTTTTCGCCTTTCTACGATTGGGGTGTCGACGCTTTCCTAAAAAATGTTTTCGTATAAATGTTTTCAAATAAATGTTTTCGAATAATTGTTTTTAAATAAATGTTTTCAAACAATTGTTTTTAAATAAATGTTTTCAAATACCTAAATGGGTTCTAATACAGTTTTTCAAATACATGTTTTTAAATAAATGTTTTTAAATAAATGTTTTTAAATAAATGTTTTTAAATAAATGTTTTTAAATAAATGTTTTTAAATAAATGTTTTTAAATAAATGTTTTTAAATAAATGTTTTTAAATAAATGTTTTTAAATAAATGTTTTTAAATAAATGTTTTTAAATAAATGTTTTTAAATAAATGTTTTTAAATAAATGTTTTTAAATAAATGTTTTTAAATAAATGTTTTTAAATAAATGTTTTTAAATAAATGTTTTTAAATAAATGTTTTTAAATAAATGTTTTTAAATAAATGTTTTTAAATAAATGTTTTTAAATAAATGTTTTTAAATAAATGTTTTTAAATAAATGTTTTTAAATAAATGTTTTTAAAAAAATGTTTTTAAATAAATGTTTTTAAATAAATGTTTTTAAATAAATGTTTTTAAATAAATGTTTTTAAATAAATGTTTTTAAATAAATGTTTTTAAATAAATGTTTTTAAATAAATGTTTTTAAATAAATGTTTTTAAATAAATGTTTTTAAATAAATGCTTTAAATAAATGTTTTTAAATAAATGTTTTTAAATAAATGTTTTTAAATAAATGTTTTAAAATAAATATTTTAAAATAAATGTTTCCTAATAAATGTTTCCTAATAAATATTTTTTAATAAATGTTTTCTAATAAATGTTTTCAAATAAATGTTTTCAAATAATTGTCTTTAAATAAATGTTTTCAAATAATTGTTTTTAAATAAATGATTTCAAATATATTTTCAAATACCTAAATGTGTCTTAATACAGTTTTTCAAATAAATGTTTCTAAATAAATGTTTTTAAATAAATGTTTTCAAATAAATGTTTTTAAATAAATATTTTTTTTAATAAATATTTTTAAATAAATGATTTTAAATGAATGTTTTCAAATAAATGATTTCAGACAAATGTTTCAAAAACAACGAAATAATACCTAATTTTATCACAAATATTTGGTTCACGATCGACTTTTATTTATATTAAATAAAATGTTCAGATTAGCTCACATTTTGTTTTAAAATACCGATTAGCTATAATAATGATTTTTTATTTATTGCAAATGAAAATAAGCAAGCGCCAATAATGTTAAATTATGACAAATCGAGGAAAATGTTGAATTTGAATATGCAATACTTCGGATAGAGATCGTAGAAAAAATGTCCTTCAAATGTCTGATTAAAATTTAAAAGTTATACTCACATAATCGGCATACATATCTTCGGGCAAAAGCGATTTTTTCGGCGTAATCAAGTTGGCATAGACAGCATCTTGGGCTTTGATCTTGTACGTTTCGGCGGAACCTTTGGGTTCTTCTTTTCGGTAGTGCTCTGACGCTACTGTGTAGGGTAGTTCCCTGGGTACTATGTCTTCCCAGTACTGATCTTTAAGGAGTTCTGGGTGTTCTTCGTGCATTTCATCGACTATCATGTAGGAAGCCTAAAATAAGAATAATCCATTAAATAGTCCCGACTTTGCTCCTTGTGAAATTATATTTTATATATTCGTAGTTAAAGTAGATGTGACAAAAACTAACAAAATTAGAAATACATTTATTAGTAAAAATAATGCTAAATTTCTTAATTTACATTAAAAAATGATTTGAAAAATAATATAATCAATATGTGCTGCATTTGAATATCCACATCCGATGCATTTTTTAACATCTCGAACGTTTGTTTATCGACATCGGACACATCTACTACATTTGCATCTGCGTTTGTTTATCCAAGATGTAGCTGTCCAGATTACATCTCGATTTGAAATTAGATGTTGTATTGGGGATTGTCAGACTTGTCATTTATTTTTTGTTAGATTCGTTCCATGCCAAAACTAGGTGTTCTGTGAAGTCAGATGCCGATTCAGTTCAGTTGTTTCAGTTACAAGTTTATCGATTCATCTTTTTTTTATGCTAGCATGAATATAAAAGTGACTAGTTTGTATAATTTTTGTTTAGGTTTCAAATTTATAATTTTGAAAAGTCAAATTTAAAAAGTATAAACTTCTAACTTGTCATTGGCATTTTATCACGTTACCAATAGAGTCTAGAGCGTTCGTTATTACATCTACATTTAAAACTAGTCAAGTGATAAAAAATTCACAACATCTCAGATGCATCCGATGTGGATATTCAAACGCAGCAATGAAAAGTATATCAAATATATAGATATAGTACAGACTTTCCAAATGAATTTAATTAGGTTGGCGTATCATTTTTGAAAACTTTTTTGGATTTTTGATAAAATTGGTAATTTGGTTTAAGATCTTTTATAAGTCACAGCAAAGGTGGAATTGAGGGACTTTTGTAAAACTACATATTTTGAATAGTGAACTAATGGTTGCCGATTACTTAATTCCTCTGGTTTTTTTTTAATTTAATATCAAATCAATATCAAATGCTCTTGATAATTAATGAATATTTATCTTATATTTTAAAGTTAATTTTGAGCAGTTTATCTATTCAACTGATTAGCATGATATAAGATACCGCTGTAATCTCTTATGCACAGGTACATAATATACCAAGTTACGAAAGCAAACCAAAGCAAAGAGAACCAAACTAAAGCAGGTGGCGAGTGCCATTCGAGGTCAGTCATCTTATGAGCTGCTGCGGTTGTGTCCTCTTACTCTTAGTCTTGTAATAACAGCGGCGGAACAACAATAAATATTAGAATTTGTCATAAAAAAATGACAATTTTTAATGCAGCTATACCAGTTTTATGTGCATACACAAAGTTTTTATAATTAGCCCTGTCATTATTAAAATAAAAAACGATGAAAAAACCAAAACAAAAAACGACAGAAAACCGACAAAAAACGATCAAAAACGACGGAAAGGAAAGGAAAAAAAATAAAAACGGTAAAGAAGGGACTTAAAATACCGTTTTGAGCTTACGTTTTTAGTAACTTTTATGCACTTCTTTCCGTTGAACACTTAGGATATCGTCGGTAATGCTGAAAAAGCGTTGTTTTTTTTCCTGGGCTCGTCTGACTATGTCTCCAAATAATACTGAAGCCTATTGGCTTATTGTGTTTTACCCCATGTTAGTTCATACCACCCACTCTGTCACCTTTATACCTTGTACAAGTTTGAACAGATCCTTGGGTGAGTGGGTTCTATACGTTGTTGGATCAACCTGGTGTTGTCCAAAAAGAGCCTGTCTTTTGCGATCTTGAGCTTCGCATTCGCACAGTATGTGTTTGGTCGTTTCTGGTTTCTTGTGACATAGTCGGCACATGAGTTCCCCATTGTAGATGCCAATTTTGTTCAAGTGTCCCTTTACTGGGGCGTGCCCAGTCATGAACCCTGTTATCACTTTCAACTGGTTCCTATTCATAAAGAGTAGTTCTCCAGTTCTTTTGGGACATGGTCTGCCTATGAAGACTTTTCCATGTGCCTGTTTTGGGGTGCTTCCCCAATAGTTGATATGTTGTTCCCGAATCCAGTCGTTTATGAAACCCCGGACTGTACTTTTTGGTACTCCTGGGTTTGTGTCTGGTTCCGGTGTTTCTTCTGACCCTCTTTGCAAGTTCGTCAGCCTTTTCGTTGCCTTCGATCCCTTGGTGACCTGGTACCCAAAATAATTTTACTCTATTTCGGTCTGCCAGTATTCTTAGTTCTTCGATGCATTCCCATACCAGCCTCTACGTAACTTTCTGACTGGATATGGCCTTAAGTGCCGCTTGGCGGTCTGACATTATTTGAATATGCTGATTTTCGACAGCTCTTTCATTGTTCGTTTTTGCACATTGCAAAATTGCGTATACCTCGGCCTGAAATACCGAGGAATGTATTCCTATAGCATAGCTATGGTTAGTATCAGGGTTTTTGGAGAATACTTCCGCCCCAGTGCCTTCCGCAGTCTTAGACTCGTCTGTATACCAGGTTTGTTCCTGTCGTTGGGCATTGGGCTCCCTTATGGTGATCTCCGCTCTTTTCTGTATTAAAACCTCAAATGGAGTATTAAAAGAGTACCCCTTAGTTATGTGGTCTGATCTCATGTCTAGCACGTCTCCTGTCACTAACCTTGAAATACTCATGTGGTCTGGCCTGATGTCAAGATTTCCCAGTGTATTCCCCAATCTGTAAGCACCTAATCTTGCCTGCCGTTGTTTTTAGTCTTAATTCATCGTTTTTCATTTTAATCGTTTGCGTCATATAGGTTGTTACCTGGTATACATGTACCTACCCATAAGTTTTTTTTAATTATCTCTTTCATTATTAAAATGAAAGAACTGTCAATATCTGTATCTGTGACTTTCTTTGCGCATCTACCGGAGAGCTGAATGTAACGTAAAATACGCCAAAAATCGACTAAAAAAAACGGCCATAAAAAACGACTGCGAAAAAAACTGCGAAAAAATAACGACTGGCAAATAAAACTACGAAATTATGAAAAACTATGAAAAAAAAAACAACATAAAAACGACAAAAATGACCAAAATTACAAAAAAAAAACAGAGACGACAAAAAAGACGACTTACAATACCGTTTTTGTGCTTACGATTTTAGTAAGTTTTATACATGATTTTCCGTTGAACACTTATGATATCGTCGGCAATGCTGAATAGCGTTGTTTTTAGTTTTTATTCATCGTTTCGTTTTTCATTTTTATCGTTTGCGTCATAGACGTTATTTGCTGATATACATAAGTTTTTTTAAAAATCTCTTTCATTTTTAAAATAAAAGAACTGTAAGACCTGTCTGGCTCTGTGACTTTCTTTGTGCATCTGCTAAAGAGCCGAAAGTAACGTAAAATATGCTATAAATCGACTAAAAAAAAGTTCATAAAAACAAGTGCGAAAAAAATAAAACTAAGAAATGTCGACACAAATTACGAAAACATAAAACATAAAACAACAAAAACGATAAAAACAAACAACAAAAAACGACAAAAAAGACGACTTAAAATACCGTTTTCAAGCTTACGTTTTTTAGTAGTTTTAAAAAGGACGAAAAACTATTAAAAAACAACAACAAAAAACGACGAAAAAACGAAGATAAACCGAAAAACTAAAAACGATGAAAAAGAAACATTGATTAATTTAAAAACGATTTATAATATTAAAAAAATATTATAATTTTAATTGACTTAAAATTAAGCACAGTCTAATCTAGTTTTAGGATTATTAGCTATTGAGAGATATAACAAGAGTTCTCGCGCAGATTGGAAACGTTTTTATTTTTATTTTTTATATATATGGACGTAAATTTTAAATTTGTTAATGGTACGCTACTGAGTCGTTTTATTTAGTTATCTGGTCGGTTTCTTACCTTGATATGCCTATCAATGAGCCAGTTTAGTTCAATGTCATCGTCGTCCTCGCCGAAGGGGTTGATCAATACCTCTGCCACTTTCAACCAGCCCACATAAAAGCAGAACTGAAACATCGGCAAGAAAAGCTACCATTTTTATTTTTCTCAGTTTTACTTATAGATTATAATAGTCTAATAATTGTTGTATTAATCAATTGAAGGAATCAATGTAAGAACTGGACATGTAAAAAACGTATTAAAAAATGTATTATACGCAAAATTCACTCTTGACTTTGGTCAGTTAAATATTATCGATTAAATTTGGATAAACATTTCCTTTTCGTTACTTCACTCTTAATAATAATGTCCACATTCTGCACAGATTTGTTGTTAATTCTTTTTTTCCAAAATTACACCTGTAGGGTCGCTAGAAATCTGGTTCTTGGCTAGGACGATGCATAATATCATATTTAAAATAATTTTTGACGAACATATCGTTTAGTGAGAACATCAGTGACGTAACTCAAAAATACAGGTTTTTGACTTGTGTACTTCAAAAAAATTACTTAATGTAGCCCGCAACTGATACATAACTGGCGAAATTATAGTTCTACTACTGTCCGCTCGATGGCTCGATTGTCAGTAATGCTTGGTATTTTTATTTTCACCTTCGAAGGCAATACTGACTAATGTAACATTATTAATATTCATTTAATTAAAAAAAACCTGTTACATTATAACTTAAAGATATTTAAAATTTAGAGAGAGAAAATCGGTAAGATAGCTCCAAACGTATAGCCAAAAAAAAAATAATTTTCGTACAAACTTTAACCGCGTTTATCTTAGATCAACATTTTCGGAGTTAGGTCACTAATGTTCTCACTAGGCGATATGGACATGTCCACTTCTTGCATTGATCCCTTCAAATGATCTGTTTTGAATTCAACGAATTGATTAAATGAAGATTTCAACGTTCGGTCACGACAGCAACAATTTAAGTCTGTCTACAATTTTTAGTGATGCCGCGAGACGAGATATCCTCGTCTCTTGTCTCATCTCGTCTCGAGTAGATGAGAGATATTTTCTGTCGAAAACAGATTCGAGACGAGACGAGAAAGTGTCATCTCTCGACGAGAATATCTGGTTTCAATGGTTTCTCTCGAGTTATCTCGAACAATTTACTTTTTAATTTCAAATTATTCTATACAATTTACTTTTTGCTTATTTGAAATTTTCAATTGCTTATCAGATTTCTAGACGGTCAAAAAGTTAACTATAACTATATTAAATGGTAACAAATAATACGTGTGTAATTATAAATAGGAATTTATAAAAAAAATATTTCTCATATCATTTATTTAAAATTAGGTACTACTAAAATTTAAATACATTTGGATTAAACAGAACAAAAAATACTTTAGATTTATTAATTTGTAAATATAAAACTGTATTGTAAATTTAAAAACAGATTTGAAGAATAAATTTAACTACTTTTAGCCACATGGAAAATTTTATAGATTACTCACCCCATATAAGTAGCATTTTATTTTTTGAATTGCTTTCTTACCTGGTCAGTAATAGGGGTACAGTTATTATTTTCTATTTTTCCTTATTTTAAAAAATATAATAAAAATGCATGGTCTAAAAATTGAATTTTTAAAATATTACAAGTATTAAAAGTAATTTAAAAAAAAACGACTTCAAAATCATGCGATGCCATCACTACATCTTGACCAAATTTATATGGGACCACCCCTGAGGTGCCGCATTACTTACAAAAAAAAGGATCATAAAAATCGGACAAGGTGGTAAAGAATTATCGGTAAACATTAGTAGTGCCCACAAGACGAGATTTTGCAAATTTCGTAAAATCTCGAACTCCAAATCTCGATCTCGACTTTTAGAGAATCTCGACCGGACAATCTCGATTCTTGCGAGATCATTAAAAGATTATTCTTGAAAAATAAAAAACTATCCATTTAAATAGATACGTTAGAATATCCATTTACATTATAAAAATAAATATTCATAAATTTTATCGAATCATAAAAGAATATTAATTTTTTTAAATAATTTTTATTAAAAATATTATAATAAACTTGAGGTAAACCAAGAATTGAGGCGTATAAGAAATCTGACCGGATCAGTTGTTAACTGGCTTTGATATTTTCTTATGATGAGGCCAGCTTGTAAAAACAGTCTCTCGGCAGGGACTGGTGTGACCGAAGTACCCATAAAATCGCGAGCCATTTTTAGCGAGGGGTAATCATTTTGGTTGTGAATCCACCACATTTAAATGTCCGCATCCTTGTAGGCGAGATATAGACGAGATTCTTTTTTGAATCTCGTTCTCGCCGAGATCTAGAGTGTCAGATCTCGACTTTCGATCTCGACTTGTTATGCAGATCTTGATCACGGATCTCGTCTCGATCTCTGTCATACATAAAAACTGAAAAGTTTGAGGATTTTCTCGTGTACCCAATTGCCAAAAAAACAATAGGGCATAAAAGTCTTATGTTTCTGGGACCTAGATTTTTAAATTTTTTACCAAAGGAAACATGTTTCTCAACTTATTCGGTATTTTATTTTAGGAAAAAAATTAAATCCTTTTTAATAAATAAACCAAGGAAAGATATTTATAAATTTTTTGATTTGTGAAAACAAATTAAACAATGTGGAAATATAAAATGTTAATTAGTAAGATGCACTTAAAAATGTAAAAATAAAATAAACAAATAAACCCAGCCCACAGACAGCTTTGGCTTTGTGGGAATTGTTTTCTTTGTTTGTGTTAATTTTGTATTTTTAGAAAAATGAAAATGTTAAATTTAAGTTTAATTGTAATAATTGATGCAAATAAAGATTATTATTATTAGATTTTGACCAAATGCACATGTGACCACCCCAGAAGAATTCTCTTTCTAACAACAAAAGAATCATTGAAATAGGACACTCTGTTAAAGAATTACTGCTGAACATACATAAAAAAAAAATGTTCCGATGAATTGAGAACCTCCTCCTTTTTTGAAGTCGATTAAAAAAATGAATATTTATACAACCATTTTTGACATTTAATCCATTCTGTTTTTCTGAGTTTAAGTGACAAACTCAAAGAAAAGGTAAAATAAATGAATGTATTATACAGGGTGGCGCATCCTATACGCGTCGGTCTCTGTAGGGAGAACGACTTAAAATTTGAATTTTTTTTCCTAATAGCGATATACAGGGCCATTAACACTACAAATTAAAAATAATTTGGATTATACAGGGTGACCCACAAATAGGAATTTATATCAAAGTTATGTTTTTTTTTTAAAGGAACACCCTATATTTGATGGTGTCTTTCGATTCCCCGGAAAAAATTAAGTAAAGTTTCTGTAATGTTTCCTATACTTATCTTTTTTCGTTTTTGAAACATTTAAAGGATTCTTAATTTGTAAGCTTGAACAACATAATCGAGTATGTCGCGGTTATTTAAAACACATCAACAGTCACTTGCGATATGCGTAGCCAAGATATTAGACTATCGAATAAAATTCAAATATTTTTATTACATCATTTAGTCTAATTGAATTCAACTTACATATGGAGTTGAATAATATTCTTATTTTAAATGGCACACCCTGTATTTAATAACTTAAACTGATAGACATTTAAATTATCTTTCATTCCATATAAGATTTCCTTATACCTAAATTCAACCCCTATACCTAAATTCAACGGTTTTTCAGCAAATATCTGTTTTATGTTTAACCATTGAATTTAAATGCCAAATGCGAGTTTGACATGTCTATTTAGTAAGTTAGATATCAAATGTACGAAAAATCGAATATGAAACATGAAAACTTAGTCTAAAGCAGAGAGAATTGATATGGTGCTTGTTCTTGGTGAGTGTCATGAAAACTGTTTATTGGCTTCTAGAGTTTACGGTCAAAAATACCCAGATAGAAAAAATCCTGAAAGACGTGCTTTCGAAAAATTACTACAACAGTTTAAAGTAAGTGGAAACGTAGATTATAAAAAAAAAATTATTCAGCCTCAACCTATTGTAGGAGATCATGATAATAAATTTTGGGTTATTGGTTCACTAATACAAAACCCACACACAAGTCGTCGGGGCTATTAGTAGAGAAACTGGAATAAGTAAGAGAAGTATTGGACGAATAATAAAAAAACATAAATTTTATCCTTATAAGATACAGCTGCACCAAGAACTGTATCAAAGGGACTTTCAACAAAGAATCGATTTTTGTTTATGGGTTATGGATAAAGTAGAATCAGATGCGGATTTTTTTGATAATGCTTTGTTTTCGGACGAGTGCCCGTTTCATAATAATGGACTCGTTAATCGCCATAATTTTTATTATTATAGTGATGAAAATCCTCACGTCTTTCGTACTCTCGATCATCAGCATAGGTGGTCCTTGAATGTGTGGGGAGGAATATTAGGTTTACATGTTATTGGTCTTTATTTTTTTAACGGTCATCTAAATGGCACAAAAATTTATAAAATTTTTGCGGAGAAAATTATCTGGGCTTCTTGATAATGTACCTTTAAATACTAGTCAGGAAATGTGGATGCAGTTGGATGGAGCCCCCGCACATTTTTAACATCGAGTACGGTGATACTTAAACCGGCGTTTTGTTAATAAATGGATCGGAAGAGATGGTCCACACAATTGGGCTCCAAGATCTCCAGACTTGACGTCGTTGGATTTTTTTATGGGGACACATACAAAGTATAGTTTATAACACTAATAAGAGTTGCTTTTCAGACAGTAACTGGAGAGATTCTTCTCAAAAATGGGCGTCACTTTGAATATTTTTTATAATTCATTTTTTGTTTTGTTTTCAATTTGTTTCTTATTCTTTTTCATTTGTGTGTAGTTTTCAAAGAATTCAAATTTTCTTGTCATTAAATATTTTTTTTTTATTAAAAAAATTATAGTTTTGGTTTACATTGAAACTATTTAACATTGAAAAGTGATAAAAATGTTTATTTCGTTCAATACCATATTTTTTAGTGATATTTGCTCTATGGTTACTAGGAATAAAAAATAATACGATAAAATCCGTATGTTAAAAATAAAAAACAGCTATTTACTAAAGATCCATCGAATTTAGGTATAGGGAAATCTTACATGGAATAAAAGACAATTTAAATGTTTATCAGTTTATTATTAAATACAGGGTGTGCCATTTAAAATTTGAATATTATGTAAGTCGAATTCAATTAGACTAAATGAGCACCCTGTATGATGTAATGGAAAAATTTACATTTTATTCGATAGTCTAATATCTTAGCTACGCTTATCGCAGGTGACTGTTGATGTTTTTTAAATAACCGCGACATATTAGCTTATGTTGTTCAAGCTTAGAAATTAACAATCCTTTAAATGTTTCAAAAACGAAAAGAGATAGGTATAGGAAACATTACAGAAACTTTACTTTACTTTTCCGGGGAATCAAAAGACACCATCATTTGGTGTTCCCTTTAAAAAACATAACTATGATATAAATTCCTATTTTTTTTTCGACTTAATTATAGGCAATAAGGCAATAACTACAGATGATGCTGGAAGATGGATATATTTTTCACTGTTGAGAGGTCCATCTTTTAAATGGTCTATGACCATAATTTTGTCAGTCGATTTATTTCATTACCTATTTGTCTTATCTTTCTATAACTGAATAATAATTAATGAAATGGCGTGTGAATGTTATTTTTAACCGACTTCAAAAAAGGAGGATGTTCTCAATTGGTCTGAATATTTTTTTTATGTATGTTCAGCGATAATTATCGCTGAATTATAATTCTTTAGCACGTTGTCCGATTTCTATGATTATTTTTTTGTTAGAAAGGGGTCAAGTACTGATGATAAGATCTCGATAAAATCAGCAAACTCAATTTGTAATGGAATCTGCACGATTTTGGAGTCGTTTTTTTTTAATTTCTTTTAAATAAATTTCATTAATTTTAGAATGTTCCGAAGCGGCATTCCTTTTTGCAATTTTAATCTGGTTTCATCGAGGATCGAAAAAGCAGTGTTTCCCGGTCAACCATTACATGCGCGAAACGTGACATTCAGGCAGTGAATTCAAAAAGTTATTATTAATATAATTTTATAAAAGGATAGTTTATTTACCTGGACTGTCGTAAAAAATGGAAAATAAATATCGATGTTGTCATATTTGGTGTTTAGCTTGTCGACATCTTTCACAAATTGTCTTCCTAAGAGGGCTGAAATGAAATAGACGTACAGCGCTAGGGAAACCACCTGAAAATAAAAGAAACGTATTCATTGACAGTATTTTAAAATATTGACGATCTTATTATGGTTCAAGAAATTTTTCATACCATATAGATCAGCTTTAATGCTCGTATATTGGTATAGAAGCAGTTAGAAACTACGTGCGTTAGAACGTACGTAAAATAAACGTTCGTCTGTACCGGGCATTAGAAGAATGTTTTGTTTGTCAAATGACTTGCATTTGTATGTTACATGACTTAATTTTGAGAACACCCGTGTAAGTAATTTAATAAGAAAATTGGAACAAAAAATTTACGTGGAATAATTTCAAGCAATCAATTTTAAGCAGACACTGACTACTGACATTGAATAATTATTTATTATTTCGAGCGAACGACAGGTTCTAAAAAACTTGCCGGAGCATTTAAGACAAAATAAACAATAAAAAAGCAATTTCAATAAGTAGTTAGGTACCTACGTATTTATTGAAGGCGCGTATCGGTATTGTTTTCGTATTATTTCAGGTACCCAATGTCAAAAAATGTTATTTAATAGGTATAATGTGGGTATAATTACTATTTAACCTCCATATAAGGTACTGGGCGACTTTCAAAATATTCCATATTATTTGTTTTGGTGGAGGAAATTATTGAATTATCTACTTTTTTTTTATTACTCCACCCAACAGTCATCACCATTTACTGGGTGGAAAAGACAATATTTTAGCAATAATAATACAATTAATACAAAATTGATATACAGGGTGATTCAAAATTGAGTGCAAAGATTTTAAGGGCGTATTTACCAACCAAAAATAAGAAAAACATTTCATATAATTGTATGTCCTAACTTGCTTCGTTTTCTAGATACAGGGAGTCAAAAAATATTCGGTTTTTTAACAATTATTAATTAAATAAAATCACACTTTTAGACGCCACTGGAATAAATATTAAATGAAATTTCATAACACAAATAAAAATTTAGACAGACGTATTTACCGACAATCTCCATCACTTAGTAATTAGTTTTTTACTAGTTTTAATAGGGTCAGGCACAGATTTTGATTTTTTTCTTGGCAACAAAGCTAGATACGAGTCAAATTTAAGAAGCAAGAAAGTTACAATATTGATCGCTTAATCTAAAAAAAAACAACTGTCAAAAAAGCAGTGCCGTACCATAATTTTACCTATAAGTGTGAAGTAGGTAGCCCTCTGAGACGCCACTGGAATTATTAAATTTATTTTCAACAAAGGAAGGCCCTTATGACGAAAAATAAGCCTAGCAAATTTTATTTAAATCGGCTGAAAGGTTTTTGAGTAATTGATAAAAAACCTATTTTTTTAAAAAAATTTGCAAGTTAGGACATATGATTATATGAAAAAAATTTCTTATTTTTGGCTGGTACATACTCCCTTAAAATCTTTGCACTCAATTTTCAATCACTCTGTATTATGTGAAACAAGAAAGAAAAAGGCAAGTATTTATATACAGGGTGAATCCTAAGTTGATTATTTTTTTAACTATGTAGATAAGTCTGTTTATATTTTTTTTATACTTTTTTTTTCGGTAATGAATCACACTGATACTGTCTACCGTATTGTAACTCAGTCGTGATTACTAGTAGTGTGTTTATATAAAGTACCTAATGAAGTAATGAATTTAATTTGTTCAGTACGGTAAACTATGACAGCAATGAACTTTGTCGATATGTTATTTATTTATGACGAGTGTCTACAAAGTACTGCTGCTGCATCGGTATTGTACGTGGACAAATTGCGGGAAAATGAATTGTAAGGGAGAGTGGGGGAATTGTGCGCACTTAAGCGAAAATCGTTATAGCACTTGTAGATAATTTAAATGTAAATACCATAATGGGGGTGCTATTTAGTCAACTCTCTGCACGTAAATCAATTTTAGAAAAAAATTAAATATTTAAAGCACAATACTGCTGAAAGCACAATACTGCTGAAAGTACAAAAGTGCTCTTGCGCACCATTCCCTGCCGTTGTGGGTAATAGTGCGCAAGTGTTGGGGAATCGTGCTCATTAAAAGTATTAAGTATAAGATAAAACCAACACTAACTTTAAAAACATTTATTGAAGTTGTGGAACATAAAAAAACACTATACTAACTCCTAATTTGAGCATAGGTCACATTTATAATTTTTCGGGATATCTGAGGCAGTAGGTACATTCGGCATGGTTCCAAATTGAGCAAAGGACACATCTATACCATAATTCTCGTTGTTTGCCAAATTCACCGCAAATACCACAAACTTTGGTTAGTTTAACTGGCTGATTCAAAGGTGGCGGTACGAAGCTCAGCCCAACTTCATCTTCAATATCATCCAGCTCATCGTCGTCAAAAATATCCAACACATCATCTTCTGATGAATCAGATGATTCAGGCGTTGGCGGTCCCTTCTGTTTGCTTTTGAATTTCTTTTGAAGACAACGGAATTGATAATTCGCCGTCCAAACATTTACAAATAACTCCTTTACTGTTCTTATATTTCAGTTTTTCTGAAGCAATTAATTCCTCTCGTTGTCTTTTTTTCTCTTCAGCTTCTTCTAGTTTTTTTTTTGAATGGGAGTGCTCGTAAGAATTTCCGATTTCTGTTTCCTAGATTTTCTTTTCGTTGCCTGATTAACTTTTGTTTTTGGTATTGGAGCCATAGCAAAAAAGAATTATCATAAGATGTAGATGGTTGAAGACTCGGATCTCTTTGATGTTGTAAATCTGGGTGATTATCTAGAAGAGTTGCTGCACCATCTTGACTGGATGAAATTTCAAGTTTAGGTGTTGCTTCTACTGTAAGTTTTCCTACATGGTGGCTATATTCAAAATCAGCATCGGAAAATTTGTCGTCATCCAATGGAGATAATCCAGACGTCCGAAACCCTGAAACTGCTTTTTCCATTGTAGCCACTTTCATGAATGCCTTGTTTAAAAGTTCGGCTACATCGTATTCAGTTATTTTTTGATGACCGGTACTTGACAAGTAAAGATCATATTCCCTAAATAGTGTATTTTTCAGAGGACTAAAAAATGTCAGATCCAGAGGCTGAAGGTGATCAGATGTGTGTGGAGGAAGCGAGACCATGTGGATGTTATTTTCATGCAGAAATTATAAGCTGCAATTGAAATGTGGCTGAAATGGTTATCCAGGACCTGAAAGTGACCTAGCCACTGAGGAAAAAGTCCGGATTTGATCTAACCGTTCTTAGAACATTTGTACAACGCCCCAATTGTTCCATTTTTCTCGAGAGTTTTGGGCATCCTTTTCCTAGGATATAGCCGCATTCATACAAAATACAGCTGCTATTGTTCTTTTTCTTTCGCCAGAAATTGCAGCTCCTATTTTTTTAGATCCCTTACGACCATAAACTTTAGGGCATTTGTTCTGCACCGTGGTGATGCCTGTCTTATTTATGTTGTAAATACTCTTGGGTTCAAACTTTAACTTTTCCATGATAGTTTGAAGGTTTGAAAAAAATAATTTTAGTAGAGTCCTTATTAAAAGATGCAATCCTATTCAAATTGGTTTCTTCAAGCTGCCGTAGATTTATATCAGGTGATCTCCTTACAAATCCACACAGTCAGTCCTTTCCAGCTAATCCCTTTTCCTTGTCAAATTTATGAGCAATGTCATGTTGCTCAGCATATCTAAAAGCTAGTCGCCTAAGACACCTAAAATAGTTTTGCTAGCGTTAAAACGTACTCTCTAAACTCAGATTTTATTTCCTCTGAAAACACAGGCTTGCAACCCAAACGGTGAGCTTCGGCTTATTTTCTGACAGTTTTTTTCTGAGTGTCGATTCAGGAATATTGAAGGCCCTTCCTGCATCCCTTATTTTTCTGCCATCATTTCTTATCGCAAATAAAGCGTTTTGTAAATCTTCTTCCTTATATGAAAGAATTGTGGTTTCCCTTGTATAATTTCTCGTCATCTGAAAAAAAAAATATTTAAAATTTGGTTACGTGTGGGGTAATGGTGCGCATCAGTGCATTAGCCCTTTAGATATTAAATGACAATCTGTAATACGGTTAGCAAACTACATAACCTAACAATGTAAAACAAGCATCAATAGATGCAAAAGATAATATTTTTCCATAAAATAAATATATCTTATCGATTAAGGAAAAAAGAGGACTCACCGTCTTATTTTTCGATGTCAAAAAATTACAGAAACTGGCTGGATTTCAAATACGCAGGGCTCATTACGTGCAAACGTAAACAACTGATGTGAGTAATGGAGTCAGTGATGCATAGTAGAAAGGAGAGAGCGCAGCACTAGTCGGTGACGCTTAAAAGCCCGCGAAATATGAAATAGTTTGATGCGCACGATTACCCGACGCGCACGATTCCCCACTCTCACTTATCCCTTTTACGTTTAACGTATTTAAGCACTACCATTTTGAAGATTTTCCCCACAAAGTTCAGTTTTGTTAATGGTTGTTACAACGACATAAATGAGATTTTCGGCAAAAGTTCTAGCTACGGACAGGACCGTATTGGATACATTTTGGAATAATTTATTGAAAAGTTTCTTGAAAAGGTTATTTAAAAAAGTTATTTGAAAAAGTTATTTGAAAAAGTTATTTAAAAAAGTTATTTGAAAAAATTATTTGAAAAAATTATTTGAAAAGATTTAAAAAAGTTGTTTGTTTTAATGACTTCTATACACAGTTAAAAAAGTATCAACCCTGCATGAACACAAGAGAGAAAAAAATGTTTGTTTACATTGCACTGCACCTTTTACATTAGTAGTACATATAATAAAAAGTTAGGAATATGAAGAAACATTTTTAATCATATACTTGTTATACATGCAAAAATATCTAAGCGGTCTTGAATTTCATGATTTTCTAAATTCATTGGTACATCGGAGATGAGTTCAGAACATACAGTCGGTATGTAGAACCTCAAGTAAACTACCTATTAAACCTGTACAAGCGATTTTTAAATTGACATAATTTAACAAAACAATGCTATAAAAGTAGGAGTATATCCCAATCAATATCAACATAAAAAAGGCAAACATCGCAAACGCGCATGTTTCTACGATTTTTTTATGTTGATAGTGAAAAGATAGGTATTTTTTTAAAAATTCTATAGGAGAGGAGGCGAAAATGTGGCATCTGCCTCGGGCGGCAAAAACCAACCCTACGCCACTGCATATAGGTACCATCCATAATGTAGGAAGTATATTTCATGAATTTTCTTTTTCAAGTAAGTTAAGGGTTAGCAATCGCCTATAGAAATCTGCCGTACCTATATGCGCAGTTGACTTTCGGTAAAAATATACGGAGGGAAGTTACATTAAAAAAGGGGCTTGAGATATTTAAAAAAAAAATATGAGTATTAATCACTGGCCGAGTGGTATTCGGTCAGAAAATGTTTGGCATATTTTAACTCATTTATTTAATAAAAAGTAACTTACTAGTTGGAGACATGCAATCATTGAGTGTCTGGCTCCCCGTGGCACTGCTGGATACGTTAATACTGCTGCTCTAGAGCAACACTATTAACTAACTGAATGACATTCCAACAAAAACCCAAGCTAAGGTGTAAGGCAACGTGCTGAAAGCTGAATATCCGCTGGGAAAGCAATTGCGAACGTTCCTCTGGGGGCACTTGGCGAAACCCCCTTGTATCCAGCCTTACCCGGTCATGCAGGGCTCTGATCGGGTGAACATTTATTTTCCTAGCTACTCGTGAGACCAATATGGATCAAACAAATTAAAAACAACCGCGGACAGGGAACCCCCAGAAGGAGGAACAACAAACAATAGAGGTAATGAAAACTGAAGCGATTCCAGAAGAATTAACTTCGTCTCCATCAATCTCTGCACACCGCCCTAAGGCGAAACAACCTTCGGAGGAAAGTGGCAGTTCCACAAACCCCAAGGAAGAAACTATCCTAAAACGAGTTGCCTCAAAACTTAACAGGACTCACCTGAGCGACTCTCAGGCAACCAAAAAAAATTGGCAATTCGAAAGGTTAAGTTTGAAGGAAAACCAATCAGACCTAGAGCGGTGAGAAGGACGGAGAAGAAAGGAGCCAACCGAACTCCAAATAAAACTCTCCAACTCAAACGGGGCCGCCTCCAAAGTGACAGTCCGTCTTCAATGGAGACCACGGTAAGAGGTCACCCCAAGAAGCCTAAAACTGGGTCTGACAGAGCAAGGACAACCACATCTGCAGCGCAAGGCGGTAGAAGGTGGCTTGTCCTATAAACAGGCTGAAATACATACATTCGAATTGTGTGTACGAGAAAATTTGAGAAGAAAGTACAAAAAACAAACCATCCTAATTCTCTCAGATAGCCAAGCAGCCTTAAAGGCTCTTGATTCAAACAGAATCAAGCCAAAGCTTGTCTGGAACTGCCTTGGAATACTAAATGATCTAGCAACCCACAACAAGGTAAAACTAGCATGGGTACCAGGGCACAAAGATATCCAAGGAAATCAAAAGGCTGATGAATTCGCCAAAGAGGAAACAGAACTACCATTCACAGGACCCGAACCTGTATTTGGGATAAGCAAAACCTCTGCTCGATAGGCAGTGAAGAGGTGGATAACTAGAAAATACCAAATTCACTGGCAACAGATAAGAGGGCACATAATCAGTAAATCAATGCGATGGGGACCAAACCCACGCATGGCTACTGAGGTACTACAACTCGCAAGGCCTCAGATATCCACCATTATGGGATTACTAACGGGGCACTGCTTGCTGAAATACATTCACGTGATGTGATTACGCAATGATCCCACTACGTGTAGACTCTTCATGGAAGAGGAAGAAACCTCATACCATGTGATTTTCGAATGCGAAGCTCTTACTAGGCGACGTTTCATCCTTTTCGGCCTAGAACCGGAAAGAACGCCCCAGGAACACTTGGTAGGGAACTTATTAAAACTAACCAAAGACACAGGACTATTTCAAAGTACCTGAATACGGGGAAAGAAGTGGAATACAATAGACCTAAGAGGCCGCTGTGTTCTGGGCCAAACCTAACCCTACTTGCTTATAACCGACAAAGATATAAATATACTCCAAACAGTAATATTGAAATGTTCATGTACAAGAGCGTCATGTACATTTAACACTTAAGTTTTCATATGCACGGTTACATTCTACTTTAATTTCACATGAGTATAATTAGACGTTTGTGTCATTTTCATTGCACAAATTAACTTGATCAATATCGCTTTTTATTACAGAACTTACAATTCTGCGTATTACAATCACAGGACTATACAAAATCTTAATTAAAATCTGCATAACACTTTCTGCCGATTGAAAATGTTAATGATTTCTAAGTTGATCTTGATTTGTAAATATTTTCTACCTGTAGAGATATACTTACCTTATTTTTGTTGATTAACATAACTAGAAAATTTAAAACAAGAATTAAAATAAATTGGTATTTTTAAAAATTTTAGGAAGAAAACCAAAGATTTTATTTTGGAACAAATAATGTTAATCATTTCATATTAGAAATTCTCCGTCACTGATTTATGATGTTATATTGGGGTTTATCTCCTGGGTCATAAAAATATTGTTTTCATTTTCAAATAAACTACAGCCTAGTCCTCGCAGAGCATATAATGTTATTTTTTTAATGTCGATAGGTCGTTTGAATTTCTTAGATGCAATTCAGACGGTAGACGTACTGCAACCATGTTATATTTAATTTTACAGCTACCACGAAACCAGACAGATAAAGATATAAGTTTTCTAAAGCATTTTTTCGTCAAAATAATAATGGTTGAATGCCTGCCGTTATTTATAAATCACGAATCAACTATTAAAAGACATTAAACAAGAAATTTAAATCACGGCATAACATTTTTATAGCCGACATTCATTTTATTAAACAAAAGCGTGAATCATCGATACGAGTACTACTGGTCAATAAAGTCGATACAAAAGCAAATACGAACGACCTTGATTTTATTAGGTCCTCAGCAATCACTGTTACCGGTTTTGCAAATTGGAAGAGTTATTATGGGTGGGAATAAACGTTTCGAAAAAGCATATTTTTGGTGAACTGTGTTCCTTACAACTTTACTTGGCTAGGAATACGCCAGCTGGCGATATTGGAGGTCAAGGTATCGTTTCTTATATGGATATAAACAGTAATTTGGTTTTAGATAAATTTGATTTTTTTTTAAATGAATAAAGAAAACTTTAAATCAATATACCACACATATTTTATTTGAAGTAAAGTGAAGATGGTAAATCATTAATAAATAACAAGAACAGTAGTGTTCCTAGATTAGAACCTTGTGAAACAGAGCATTTTCCAGATGTATTTCTATACCAGACTGGGTAGTGAAAACCTACCTGTGAATATACGAGAGGCACATTAACAGTATCATATCCAATTAAAGCCCCTAATCTCCTCCTTATATCAGATAGCTCTTGTAGTAGAGTTTGAACTATATGGTCGCTGGTTATTATCGATTCTTTCCTTGCTCTGTTGATAATATTGGTCGCCCATACTAGGGGCATCCAGTATTTCGACATCGGAGTTCTTTGGTCCATCAATTCGAAAATTTTCTTTTCGCTTTCCATCATAAGACCTGAAACAAGTGGACGCAAATTACAATATATTCGTGTAATGAAGATTCGCGATTCAAATAAATTTTACCGCGCCTGTCATTTGTTACAGTATTAGGCGAGTTGTTTATTTACATTGTATTAGGTTATCTTATATCTTTCTAAAAATAATAAATAGGGAAAAGCCCACTGATTACCGCTTAAGGTTGCACATGGACATATGCTCCTAATTATTCCATTTAAAGTAGTACCTAAATTACGAGTATCAGGAAACGTACAAAATAAAATAGCATTAATATTATTATTTGTAACTTTTATTAAATTATGTACTTATCAAAATCCTATTAATACATAAGTAGTATAATTTTTTTACCAGTGAAAAATTGTAAATGACGATAATTCACTATATTGTATATACTATATTGTAACTGACACAAGTAAGAACGTTAGATAGGTCAGGGCTGGTATACATAAGAGGGTCGCGATATAGATCCAGTTAATTGATGAGGGATTGACTGAGGATAGGGAGGAAATAGTAGTCAGCATGCTTTTCTGATGTTCTATTGGTGAAATCCACGAGTATCGTCTGTCCTGCAGTTATAGTTTAATAAAAACAGAGACAGATCTACTTTTATGTCAATATGGTCCAATTGGAATAAACCAACGTTTTCCTCCTCGTCGTGGAATAAAAACTAAAAATATTTATGTGCCAAATTATGCAATTTATTACTGTTCAGTGATCATGTGAAAATTATTTTTGAAATTGCATTGTACCTGCATTCCTCTCATCAATCTCAAAACTGGATGATGTTGTAAATCCAGGATTTAAATCTTTCATAGTAATGCTTGTAACATTTTAAAATTTCATTTAAAAATGTTATTTTAATTGTGTGACATCCTGTATAAATTAGTATCAGATTGATTTACCATTTAATTATCGGCGCTAGCAATATGCTTAGAGAGGGAAATTTCTCTAGGTGGGGATCTGGCTGGCTCCCAATTTTAGAATCTTTTCATTAAAATTCATTTCTCATCTGATAACTTAAACTAACAGTTGAGTGCTTAGACTGCAAAATATAGTGGTAAGTTCTTAATAATGTCATTTTAAAAATATCTCAGTCAAAATTATATGTCTACTTATTTTTATTGTTATTTATTTTGAACGTCAATTTAAATTTATTAAATGCTTTACTCTTTTTGGGAGCTGAATTTACACATTGTTTATATTAATTAGTTTTTTTTATTATCTGGATTTAATTTTAAAAGAGTAAATGTTTAAAAGTTAAATTATATATCATATAAGAGCCTCGTGAAAAACAGAATTTATTTTTGTTTAGGAAGCGAATGTAAGCAGTCTCTTTCTCTCTCACGTTATAATTTTCTCCTAGATACTGCTACTTGAACAGAAACTATGTTCAAATTCTTCAATTGGATGTTTTGGAGTTAGAGAGGCTACCGAGGCTATCGTTGATGGCGACATTCCTAACTACGAAGAGCTACAGATATCTACATAGCGGTAATTAATTCACGAGGCTGTTAAAGAACTATTGATTTTGGTATGATACGAGTTTTAACTTTATAGTTGTTGGTACCCGCATGATAAAAATCATTATCTAGAAAGTTTCAGTATTTTTTATTTTTGTAAAATAATTCATGTCGTATAATTAAATAAACAAATTCATTTATATGTTAAATCTTATTTTTTAAGGTTACAACAATTCTCTTTTACTCAAGTTAAATTTTATATAAGTTTTTATTAATTTCTTTTTGACAAAGCTAGAATATATAATTGTCACTAGCTTTCTAAAAATAAAAAAAGAGAATTATTGGCGCCCCTCTCTCCCAGAAAACTATTATCCCAGAGGTGTCTATTAGAAAAATCGAATTCACGATTGAGAAAATTATATGGTCAATGTGCTCATTTCTTTTCAATTTGATTAAAGGTAAGTAATGTTTGGTGAATTTCTATGAGCTAGTCAAAATTTCTTAAAAGTGTTTTGAAATTAACATTTATTGCAAAGTAACACCGAGCTATTTTTATACATGCTTCGGATACATTGGGGGAAACGTTTAAAACCTAAAACTGCATGGAGAACACCGTAGAAGAAGGAATTGTACCTTTATGACATTCACTTTCAACATTCTTAAGTGACTTAGTAGGTACCAATAACAATATTAAGAATACATAAGTGGGATATGAAAATGTAATTACTTGATTTAAATGTTGTAAGTAAATGATCATACAGTGTGGAAAAGCCAAATGGAATAAATTCATTTTTTCGATTACTGTACATATTTATAGAAAATCCTGAAACACGTCAAATTTAAATTATAAATTGACATTCTTAAAAGTGAAAATGTGATCCCTACCTTCAACCCCCTTTGAGTAACAGTTACAACCCCTAATTTTTTAAATAGGAAGTATAGGCTTGTGATATATCGTTTGAAAGGTCTCTTCATTCTCTATCCAAAAATGTTATTGTTTTTAAATTTATTGCAAAAATTTACATAAAAAAAAATAAAATAACTGATAACTGATAACCGAAATTTGTTACAATACACTCAATATGTAATATTTAATTGTTCATAACGTAAAAAATATGAATGTCAATGAAGTAGATGTTCAAAATGCTCACCGCGAACGTCTTGGCAACGTCCTAATCTTGAATAAAAATGTCTTCTAACGTTAATTAACATATCAGGCGTGACCGATCTAATCGCAAGCATTATTCGTTCTCTTAAGTCATCTAAATCAAGTGGTTTAGTTTTGTAAACAATATTTTTCACATAGCCCCTTAAAAAAAGTCTAATGGGGTAAGATCAGGTGATCTTGCTGGCCATTCTATTGATCCTCGCCTCCCTATCCAGCGATTTGGAAATGTTAAGTTGAGGTACTGGCGGACATTGATTTGGTAATGTGGAGGTGCTCCATCTTGCTGGAACCATATGGTATTTGCTGGAACTTGAGGGTTTCCTGGATCAGGAAATAAATTTGCCAAACTTAGCACCACATCATTTTGTAGTAGTGCTAAATAATTATCGCCATTCAAATTCCCCTCAATGAAAAAGGGACCAATAATATGGTTTTCAATTATCCCTGCCCAAACATTAACCTTTTGAGGGTATTGTGTATGGACCTCTCTCATCCAGTGAGGACTTTCTGTTGACCAATAGCGGCAATTTTGACGATTAGCATGACCGTTAATGGAAAAAGTGCACTCATCAGAAAACATAACGTTTTCTAATTGGATGGTATTGTTATTCAACATTTCCATCATTTGTTCGCAAAAATTTGTTCTCCTATCAAAATCGTCTTCCATGAGTTTCTAAGTCGGTATCATTTTATAGGGATGCATTTTATTTTCATTTAATATGTTTAGTATCGATGTATGGCTGACATTAAATGTTGCAGATGCTTGTCAACTCGATGTATGTGGGTTTTCCTCAAACTCAAGCATCATATCTAATTTGATATCTACACTCAGTGCATTGGCAGCTGCTTTACATGTCCAAATTCGCGAAATTACTTCTCTATTTTACTAATTGTACCTTGTGATATAGGCGGCAAATTCGGAAATTTTTCATGAAATAGGCGAGCAACTTCCATTTGTATTCGGGTGTCATCTCCGTAATCAATCATCCGTAAAACTGTTATTTTATGCATTTCTGTTAATCTAACCATTTTTATGAAATTCAAACGACAATTATAATATTGACAATATCCTGCAGTTATAATTATTACAAACCAATTTGCTAAGGTGTTTTAAACAAATTAACATTGCTATGATAGTTTTTTAAAGGATTTTTTTAAATTGATATTAAAAACGAACACTGATATGGTTTTTGCTTATTATAAAGACTGAAACGGGAAGTAGCAGTGTAGGTACTCTAGAGAATTTCGGTAATGAGATGATTTTATTTTTTTATGTTAATTTTTGCAATAAATTTAAAAACAATAACATTTTTGGATAGAGAATGAAGAGACCTTTCAAACGATATATCACAAATATACTTCCCATTTAAAAAATTAGGAGTTGTAACTGTCACTCAAAGGGGGTTGAAGGTAGGGATTACATTTTTACTTTAAAGAATCTCAATTTATAATTTAAATTTGACGTGTTTCGGGATTTTCTATAAATATGTACAGTAATCGAAATAATGAATTTATTCCATTTGGCTTTTCCACACTGTATAAACAAAGTGCTGTAAAATATTGATAAATGCAAAACCATTATTAAAGAGAATTTAGTTATCGCCAATAGGACTTTAGTCTCTTTAAATAATAAACTTGAAAGACTGTGAATTAGTAATCACTTTTAAATGAATACGTTGCCACTAGAAGTAAAAACAAAAAAAAAATGTATGTGGTTGAGTTCTGGTAAAATGTATTTAATAAAGAACATATATATTCATGTTTTATTTAAATAAAAAACAAGTGCTATTTGAAATTGGTTTATTTTACTTTAAAAATGTTTATAAACTGTGGATACCTACATTTGATCTTTATCTTAGTATATTATAAAGTATACAGGGTGTCCCGAAATTAGACGGTCATATTTTAACAGCATAATCTACATCCTAAAATAGGAGTAAAAGTTCAGATAAACATAGGTCTGAAAACGTTTCTTTTCCGAGATACAGGGTGTTAAAAGTGAAGTCCTGATGACACTCTTTTGTAAATATTTTCTAAAATTTGGTACAAATGCTAACCTTTTACGCTCTATCTAATGGACTAAACCTCAGTTTTTGATCATCTTCATAGGTGGGTAAAGTAGGGGGGGGCTTAGGGTAAAAATTTTTTGTTGACAGTTTTTACCATTTTTGACTATAAAATTTGGAAAACCCATGTTTTCTTTATAATAAAGTTACTATTGTTGCATCTCGCTAGGACGCACCATTTTCAAGAAAAAAGCATTTGAAAATTTCAAGATAAGTTATTCGAAAGTGTAAACAATAATTAGTAGGCCTGTGAAATCAGAAATTTATTTTTTTTTTATTTTGGAAAACCAGTGACTAAAGAAAT